CGTAGTTGGCGCTCTCTCTCCACTGCATCCTACTGCGTGGTGAGCCTGGTGTGTACGGGTATGGCTAATCGCCGCGGCGGCTGGCCTCACGCGCCCGAGATATATCCGGTTGACATTGCACAACGGTGCTGGTCGTGCGCGTTTTGATTGGCTCCTCGTTTGCATTGCCAATCAAACGAACCGACCTGGTGCGACGATCGCATCTGATCGTGCTGGCGTCAAAGCTTCCTTGATCACGGAGTGTTCGATGCCAACCAGGGGGCGCAAGGGAACGCTATAATACCGGTCCTGGCTACGACTATCACGGTAATAGCAAACCTCCCTTTACGTATACTCGTAGTATCTCTTAACGTTAACGTACTCCGAGTGTTGTCATTTGAGCTTATAATGTGAACCAACACGGTCGTAGTCGTTGGAGTCGCGCATAGTACGTTAATCATTGGAGATTGCGAGCTAGTGCACTTCAAAAGGCATGTGCATAGGTTCTCGACAACGGTCTGTTTCTTCCGCAAAGAGTCTTCAAGGGCACTCGCAGCATGTCCTCGCACGTCTCGTCGCCAATCGAACGTGTTGCATATATGAGGGCAGCCACAGTACACGAGGACGGCGCCATGAGAGAGGCAGTCGCACATGACGGCTTCGGCACATCCACATGGCGTTGACTGCCTCCTCCTTCATTGCACAGGACACATTGCCCTTTTCGATGACGCAGCACACAGTGTACAGTGCCGCACTGGCTGCAGCAGCACGAACGCTGTTCGTCTCCACACGACCAGCAGCATTACGACACTGGATTGCTCGCGCACTGAAAACTTCATTATTAGTTTATTTAGCAGTCCGCTGCCAGCACATGTAAGATGGCCTAAGAGCTTAAAGATGGTCGCGACGTCCGTCGGAGGATCACCGTGGGGAATCACTCTACGTTTCTTGGCTAGTTAGGCATACGACAGTGGTAGCTGACACGAGCTTTCGAAGCTGCATGTCCACTTTTATCGGCGACTGCGACGAACGCTTACGAGCTTGCGCAGTGAGGCTCCGACGAGAAGGCCGACACTAAGGTTTGAGCGGAAGTCGACCGCATCGTCGCTGCGAGCACCCGTGTCACAGCGGGGACCTGCACGCACTGCTTGAGAAGAAAGAGCGTCACGGACTCCTGCGCGGTGGTCGAGGCACCGCAAGGAAATTAAGATCTCGTATCGGGAAATGCCCCAGTATCAGCATTCTCGGGTCGACGCTAGGCTCGTCCAAACCAACGTTTCGCGGTTGACCTTTTCGTCGTCCTGGCTGCTGAACAACGATAGTGACAATCCTCCGTGGCGATCTCGTACAGCTTCTGGTGATCGCTGGTCAAAGGTAGCTGTCGTTCGGTGACCATAGCAACGCTTGCGAGAACTGAAGATGGGCTCACAGCGGAGGGCGGAGACCAACTCCTCGCGTCTGACGTCGACAACCCTAGGCTATGCAAATGAATGCAAGCGTAGCCGTGCAACCATTGCCCGAGACTGCGCTCAACGGCCAGGCAAAGTGCCAAGAATGCGGATGACACTAATCAGCCCAGTGTTGTCAAACAGTGGATTCCTGCTTCACATGCAGGACGTGCGGGGTTCGAGCCCCCCGTTCTGGTGTCCCTTTCTTCGCGTTCTCATTGGCGTTGGCATCGGAACCATCAAGTTGACACAAAGCAAGCGTCAAGCGTCGCAACCGAGCGGAACCATCCATCACTCCCAAGCAAAAACGCAGCACTTGAAGATGCATGTAGTATTGCGAGGTGCTGCAAGCATGCTTTACCACAAGTTGTGGTCGAGCATGCGTCGGCTAATGTCCACAAGCCAGTTTGTACGACTCGTTGTAAGGGCGCACGGCCATACGAGGCGTACCGATCAATACACGGTGGTGACGCAATACTTATATGATGCATCCGCGTATCATTGCAGTCCCTGGAGCTTCCTGCGCGAATGTCTTTTCGCACTACTGTCGTACTTTCAAACATCATGACCTTGTCGAGTCCGTCCCGCCCGATGGCGTCTCCTCCTCCATTGGCACGGCTAGCATGTTATACAACGCAAATCTAGTTGGGTGTTTTAATGCGCCGGCTTGTGCGCGACGAGCCACGCGTCCTTGTTGGGCGTCGGGAAATGCCACGAGTGCGCAAGCGCCTGCGACCGCTTCGAGTAGACGCTGGGTTCGTCGAAGGTGAATTTCCCGTTGACTTTGTCGTAATGCACCAAGTGGCGCTCCTTCCAGCGCTGGAAATCCACGTTGGCAATCATCGAGAAGTGGTGGTCGCGCATCTCGTCGTTCGAGACCACGAGCGTGCGGCCGCCGAGCTTGACGGCCGCGTAGAGCCAGTACCAGTCGTCGTTGTTGCCCGGGCGGCAGTTGAACATGACGCCATCGTCCTTCCAGCTCTGGACCATCGGTCGCAGCTCGTCGGGCACCTCGCGGTCTTTCGTGCGCCGCTTGTGAAGCACAATGAGCACCTTCTTGCCGCGCGCTTGGTACGCCTGCAGCACGCGCTGGATCTGCGTGTACTTGAAGCCACCCCTATCGCCCAGTCGTAGTGAAATAGGGAGATGCGACCAAGGGTGGAGTACCCTTCAAAGTTCTGGCTAAAGTAACCAATGTTGGCTGCGTCCAAAAGCACGTCAAACGGTCCGTGCGCGTCGAGCCATTCCTTGAAAGCGGTCCACTGCTCGGTACGCTCGTCGTTCGTGCACACAAGGCCTTCGACCTTGGCCATGAGCGCCGCTTGCTTCTCGTCGCTGAGCTCGATCGACTGCAGCTGGGCACCCGTGATTGAGCACACGCCCGAAGCGTCGACTGTGCCAGTCTCACACGTGTACCCGTTGCTATACCAGACGTTTATTAGGACACGAGGTTCAAGCACCAGAGTCTCGCACCTCGTGAAGAACGACTGCAGGACCGTCCACGTCTCCTCCGACGGCTCGAGGATCTCGTCCATAAAGATGTTCAAGATCTTGTAAAACATCTCAGGGTTCGACTCGACGTGCGCCGCGTGGAGGAGCGCGGTAAACTCGATTTCGGTCACGTCCAGCGACTTGGACTTGATCGTCTCATAGATGCGCCATGCGTCAGTAAGGCGCTTGCTCGACGCGTACTCGAGGAGCAGCGGCGAGAACGTCCGGAGCTTCGTGAGCACGTGCGCAGCTTCGACCTCGGCGAGCAGCGCCTCGGCGCGGTCCGTCGCGTGGTGCTTGGCGCAAAGACGCACGAGCGCGCTGTAGCAGGGTTCGTCCACCGGGTGCTTCTTCGAGGTGGCCCCGAGCCGTTCCTTCATGTGGTCCAGAACCGCGAACGCGTCGTCGAGGATGTTGGCCTCGGCTTGGCCGCAGAGGGTCAGAAGCATCTGGTAGATGTACGCCTGCATCTTGACGTCCTTCTCTTTCATCTCGCGAAAGATGGCGAGCGCTTCGACCACGTTGGCCGACTGCATGCATGCTTCCATGCGCTTGCGGTAGCCCATGAGCTCGAGTTCTTCCGGGCTCTACGCGTCCATGGCCTATCGTCCAACCCATAGACCGAGGTAGACATACCATGCGACGCATGCGCTTGTTCATCTTCTTGGTCGCGGCCTCGTCGTCGCGCGGGCGCTTCGCGTCGGTCGTCATGGCGGCAACTTGAAACTTGGCACCAATCAGTTGATCATCCGGATAACGCGATCTCTCACGCAGTATACGGATACGAAGCCAATAGTGTCATGCGGACACTAAATGGGGACATCTGCTATCGATAGGATCGCGCGCGTCGCCCTACGCCCGACGCGTTCGGTGCGTTCGTTTGGCTCTGCGATTGCCACTCGGAGCCTGGGCCACCTCTGTCGTCGGCCCCGGTGGCAGCTGTGGCTCGCTGCATTTGTTGAAGCTCGTCGGTGGCCGAGATGGTCCAGATAGACCGGTAGAAAGGCTGCAGATAACGAGGTCGCACCGTACAGCCACGTTTCAACGGACAGTGCCAGCGGCGATGCGCATGGATCGCGTCGTTGACTGCGCTCGGCACACGTGCGATCGCATTGAAGCAAGGGATATTCGCAGAGTGGACGCTTGCGACATGCGGCGTGTGTCACACTATTGGTTGCTTCACACTAAAACCGGGCCGCGCGGTCGCCAGCGCAGTATTTTGGGAAGGGGACCGCGGCCAGCAAGCAACTCGACGCAGAAACGTGGCGAGAGCGATAGAATGGTGTCGACCAAGTGCCGCATCGCCGACTGCCCGCGCTTCAGCCAAGGCGGCGGTCTCTGCATCGGGCACGGAGGCGGCCGCGTGTGCAAGTTCGACGGCTGCGGAGCCAGCGCGCAAGCGCAAGGCTTTTGCTCCAAGCACGGTGGCAAGAAGCTCTGTAAGGAGCCGGGCTGTCCCAACAAACGTGTTTTCCGCGGCTGCTGCAAGGCGCACGGCGGGAGCCGTACTTGCACACATCCAGGATGTACCAACAAAGACGTCGGGCGCGGCTTTGCGTCTCGCACGGCGGCGGCACGAAGTGCGCGATGGCCGGCTGCGACAAGGTCGAGCGCGGCGGCGGCTACTGCAAGGCCCATGGCGGAGGCAAGCGCTGCTCGAGAGAAGAGTGCAATGCGTGGGCGCCGCATGGCGGCCTCTGCCCGACACACAAGTACGAGCCGCCGCCGCCGCCGACACCAATGCCCGAGCCGCTCCGGTTTCTCTGCCAACACAACAAGTGTCCAAAGATTGACCTCGGGAATGGCTTTTGCAAGGAGCACGGCGGAAAGCGCCAATGCATGCGCGAAGGTTGCAACAAGGCGCAACAATCCAAGAAACTCTGTCGCGAACACGGCGGCAGTCGGCTCTGCACGGTGGACGGGTGCACCAAGACGGCGCAGTACCTCCAGCTCTGCAAGGGCCACGGAGGCAAGCGCAAGTGCACCATCGAGGGCTGTGAGAACGCGGTGAAAACGGCCGGCCATTGCATTCGCCACGGCGGTGGCACTAAGTGCCACACGGACGGCTGCAAGGGCGTCGACCGAGGCGGCGGCCACTGCAAGGCCCACGGCGGTGGGAAAAAGTGCGGCGACACCGAGTGCCGAAAGTGGGTGCTCGGAGGCGGCTTTTGTCCGGACCACGTCCCAGGCGTCGCGCCGGCGCCGATGCCAGCGCGCCCGATCAAGGTGCCCACCAAGCACATCTCCAAGTCGCAGCGCGCGCCGGCGCGGCCGCACTTGCCTCAGCAGCACAACATGCTCTCTACCCACGACGTCGAGCCGTACTCCCACCACCATGCAGCCATGTACAATCATCCGCACCAGCATCACCACCCACAAGCACCCTCGTATTCCCAGCCGCGACCGCAGCAGCTACCCCGTCACCACCACCACCACCACCCGACGCACCACGAGCATGCCGAGGTGATGACGTATTCGATGCACTCGTACGCGCAGAGCTACCCGCCGCCCATGCAGCAGCTCGCGTACCAGACGTACCTCGACAACCTGCACATAATCTAGTGATGTAGAACGAATAATGTCAGCTCTTTGTCGTTGTCGTCACCGACATTGCCGTTGGCCGTTGCACCCGCCAACGCGTATCAAATCGAGCCAATCATCGGCGTCGAAAACGATCTTTTGATTCACATAAAAAAATGACCAACGCGACCGCGATGCAAACCGTCGCGGACGCCGGCATCGTCGTCGGCGGCGTCCTCCCATATGTACCCCAGTACGTGTACATGGCTCGGTACAGTGACACGTCGGGCTTCTCGTCGTGGATCTGCTTGATTCTATTGGCTGCCAACATGACGCGCGTCTGCTTTTACATCCGGTCGCCGTTTGGCGAGACGCTCCTCGCGCAGAGCCTCGTCATGATAGCGGCGCAGCTCGTCATGCTCGAGCTCGTCGTCCGCAAAGGCCGGCGCCCCACAACGTGAGCCGCCGCTCCGTCTCATCCGTGCGTACAACAATGCTACTAGTACTACTCACACATGGCGACTAGACTGGAGCCGCGACGCGTTCTGGAAATGGAGCTACTTTTCACGACTACCCTCGGTGCGCTCGGTCTCTTGACGTGTCTTCGCGTGGGTCCTCTTCTGTAGGTGCTTTCCGAGCAGCGAACGAGTACACGC